CTCCTCCTCCTCTTCCTCCTCCTCCTCCTTCTTCTTCTTCTTCTTCTTCTTCTTCTTCTTCTTCTTTTCTTCTTCTTCTTCTTCCAATTCATAATCTTATAGGGAATCAAAAGAATCACCTAGACTTATTCTTTTTACTTTCTCATGTACATAATAATGATGTGAATGCTTGAATTAGTCAAAAAATGAATTAAGTTGACAATGTTGAGCATATACCATGCTATAAATATCACCATTGTTGTTGCCAGTTTCCTCACCAAGAAATCCAAAAGGAAAACAAGCTAGATATGGCTAAATACACAGCCTTCGTTGCCCTTCTCTTCTGTCTTCTCCTTGTCGCTGCTACTGGTGAGTCAAATTAAGTAGCTTATTTTTTTTTAATCAAATTAAAGGATTGGGATGTTCAGGATTGTCCCAAGATACAAAACAAAAATTTACAAAAACAAAAATTTCAGCTCTAGAGCTGGAGTTCGCCAGTTACAAAAATAAAAATTTCAGCTCTAGAGCTGAAGTTCGCCAGTTACAAACAAAAACTTCGCCAGTTACAAAACAAAAATTTCGCCAGTTACAAAACAAAAACTTCAGCTCTAGAGCTGAACTTCAGGCCCAGCTACTAGAATGCTGAAGTTGTGTGATTGTCTTTGCTACTTCAGCCCCGTATGCTGAAGTTATGCGAAAAAACGGGTACGCTTGCAATTTTTTTTGCAAAACGGACACACAAGTTAAAACGTAACACAAAAAACGGGTATAGATGCAAATGCCCCCAATTTTTATTACATGAATAAGCATGTATAAAGACAAAACTGCCCTTTCAAACGATCCCTTCATATGCATATTGCAGGGGTTGTATTACTTATCCATTGCACTCTCTGGATGTTATTCTTTCATTGCATTTCCAAGAACAAGTATTTTTTTATCCTAAAATAAGCACCAAAACTAGCCTTAATCTTGCACACAAGCTGGGTGCCTATTTTCGTAGGCCAAGAGTGCAATCTATATTATGGCCTACTCAACACAGTCCCAGGTGTAATTCCGAGAAGCAAGAAAGCTGAACTTCATTCTATCAAGATAGTTGCTAACTCCCCAATACTCCACAGAAATGGTTCAAGTATACTATGTTTCAAATAGGTAAATACTTCAAGAATACCAATACATAAGAGATTTTCCTAAAGATCAAATGCAGGAAGGCTACATAAACTTATGCTAGTCAACTACTATAATGTCTCAACATAAAAACCCAGCTGACACATGGAGAAACGGAAAAAGATGCGTCCCAATTGACAGCATCATGATCTTTTATGATTCACATCTTTTAATAGTAAGGCATGAACCGCGTAGCCCTCCTGAACCTTGGAACTTTCCTGTAGCATACAAAACAATATACATGTGATTCATCCACTTGGAACTGTCAAAGCCTGAGATAATCAACTGAATCAAACACTCACCCGAATCCATAAGGGGAGTAGAAATAAGGAGGTGTATAAGGCCTTCTGAATCCGTAAGCCATATAAGGATTGAAGCGCCTACCACGAAACTGCTTCATCCCTGGAACATTAGTTCTCTTGGGCATAACCTGCAATAGAGGGAGAATCACAAGCGGATGTGAAGTGTTGGATTTTTAAATATTAAACTGTACGAGCTGATTGATTATCTGATTTTTGGTTGTAAAATAAGAAAGGCATGTTCACCTCCGTAAAAGTTATAATTTGGTTGCAAATACAGAACTAAATTTTTTTATAAAAGGGACTCAGGTGTTTGGTTGTCTGATTGAACAACAATCATATCCTCCATTTAAGCTATCCCTTCCACAATCATATTCTCAATCCATGTATGCAACACTACAATCCCCATATATGCTGCTCGGTGAACCATATATCATTTTATATGTTAAAGTCTGACAAGTGAAAAGATCAGCAAGACAGAACAATAAGATGATAGATTTTCTATCTATATAAGGTAGTCGTACTATCTATTGTTTCTTTTGCTTCAGCTATCGCACTATCTTCCTGTTGTGCTGCTTCTTTTCCTTTCCATGCTTTTTTTTTCGAGCCGAGGGTCTATCGGAAACAACCACTCTACCTTCAAAAGGTCTGCGTACACACTACCCTCGCCAGATCCCACTTGTGGGATTACACTGGGTTTTTTGTTGTGGTTGTTATATAAAAGATGCAACACCATAATAAGCTTGATACTTCTGAATTGTCACAGCCCATTCAATATATCCCACATCCTATTTTGCAGCGAGCTTTTCCTGTTTCTATATCTTTTCTCCTACCAGAAATGTGGCTGGTTGATGGAGAACAATAGTTTTATTCAAATAAAAGATGGGAAAAAGATTTTTACCTTCAACTGGCGTCCATGCAGTTCGGACTCATTCAGCTGAAGTGCCTCCTGAATAGCTTCTTGTTCAACGAATTCAACATATGCAAAACCTTTAGGTTGACCAAACTTATCAGTTAGAATAGTAACTCGATTCACAGTGCCACATGCCTGGAAATGCTGCTGAACTTCCTCCGGGGTACATGCATAATCAACCTGTCACATGAAATTCATTAAACACGAGCTGGTAACTGAAAGTGACAATGAAATAGGGAATTTGACACTTCACAGAGAGCTAAATTTCTTATTTGCACTTCTAAGCATTTGGATTTACATGTTATTTGCAAATAATGAAAAATTTATTTTCTACTTTTATGAATTATTGCAACTACAACTTGAATGGAGAATTTGAAGTTGAAAAACTGGTTGAGTATTTCAATTAAGATAATGGTTTTTCTTTTTTTTCCAAGATTAAAATAATGGCTCATACAAAATTTCAAACTTTTTCCAAGTGAAATACATGTCCAAACACAATTTGATAAACTTTCAAATATTATAGTATAACACATCCTGGTATCACAGCATATAAACGAAGAGAAACTATTTTGCACCCAACACCTCCCAAACGCCAATCGAAAGATCATCCCAGCACAGTACCATTATTTTTGCTGGCTTTACTTATGCTTGATACCAAAAGAGAAAATTTCAACTTCTGTTGCTGTAAAATCAACTGTCCCCACTATAAATAACTTCAATGCCCTAAAAGGATTTAACTAGCTAGGTGGTTTCAAGAAACACTTTCATCAATCAATTACAAGTCCAGAGATATTTATTTCTCTTCCGTGCAACTTTGGAAGGGGTTAAAATGTTTGACCATCTTCTTTTAATCTTAACCAAACAAGACATACATCTCATCCCTCATTCTTTCATCCCAACGAGACATATTGTAGGTACAATGGCAACTGACTGCCACATCACCATACAAGCACAGGATAGAGCAGATCATATGGTTCAGTATAATAATTTGGGTCGCCATAGAAGAAATATGAGATAAGGTCAAAGGCAAAGAGTAATGACACCTCACCGCATCAGGCTTAAATAGCTAGTCATATCTGAATACCCATGTCCACCAGCTGCCTGCAGCAACCAGACTCGGCAACTAGAATTTGCATGACAGTAATAATGGCTGTCCGCTTTATATAGGCAGGTGTACGTTTCTTCTTGCAAGAAGGTAGAAACTTGAAC